AAATAAGAACAACCCAAAAAACAAATTAACAGTTTGATAACTCATATAGATCACTACCAATTATAGAAGAAGTACAAATATGTAAATCTCATAAGTTCGGGAATATTGGCATAAATTTTGATTTGAAGACAGAGACTCATAGAGATAAACAAGAGCACTGAAGCAGAAAAACATTTGCAAATCAAATCCAAATCAGAAGAAGAACAGACTCACCCACAACATCTTGTGATGGCACCTGTCCCTCATTGAGTATTTTCACAATCTTCTTCACCTCATCGAAGGTTCCATTCTACACGCAGATTCAGATTTAAGTAAATCAGCACTTCGTTCAATTAAACTTAAAGCACAAAATGGAAATGCCAAGCCAACAAAAATTGCAGACACAACCGTAGGATCATGGGAGAACACCTTTCCAAATGTATGTTACTCCTTTTTGGAGCCTTGATCACTTGAAGCTATTCCAATAACAGTAAGATCCTTAATGATTGCAAAACCTTGTCCCATTTTTTTAAAACCATGAATCTTACTTATTTTATGCAGTTTGACATTTAATGAACACAAATGGAATGTCTTGCTGTGAACTCCAAATAACTAAGCAATATAACTTGAATGCCTTCGTTGAAATAGATTCTTAAAAAAGGGAAACGCCAAGCCAACAAAAATTGAACTTAAAATGCATGTTCTAAGTAGTTAGCAGGAAGACCCAAAAACAACCGAAGTAATGTGAACTTTCGACTTTAGCAAGTAAGATGAAGAACATTGAAGGATTAAGAGCCGCAACAACTGCACATCTCATATAAAAAATTAGAAAATTAGAATAGATGAAAACCATTTGGTGAACCAAAAACAAAGGAAAACCCCTACATCTATTAGTTGGAGAAACAAAGGAAAACGCCAGAAAACAGAATCAAAATACTTTATAAATTACCATAAAGAACTTTTTTTTTTGGGCAGATACGATAAAGAACTTAAGTAGACCAAATACGTGATTTACACCAAGTCAACTTCAGCTAGCTGATAATTTCATTGAACCCAACAAAATTAATTCACAAATAAATCAAAAATCCCAAACCAAAATGAGAGAGAGAGATTCATACCATTCACATCAAACCCATCAAATCTAAATGCTTTC